CCTTGGCTGATGAGGTCAGCAGGGTTCGACTTGGAACTCACATGCTTGTATTCAATAATGGGCTCACCAAGGGGGGAAGACTCTAGGAATTCCTGGAGTTCCCCAATACGGTTTGCCACAAACGTAACATATTTGGAGGCTGGATTATTGAGCCAGCCCAGCACAACAGTACTGTCAGTCCACAAAACAATTCTCGAAATAGAAATTTCAGATAGTTCTCTTAACAAAAACTCAGCCATGTTTTTTGGAACCAGACAGCCCATCAACTCCATTCAAGGGATGGAGATTGGCTTGGTGGGAGCCACCCTGGATTTTGCAAAAATAAACTTGGAGGAGCAGCCCTGCTTCAAATAAGCAACTGCCCCAAAACCCTTTTTGGATGCGTCACTAAAAATGTGAAGCTCAATAGGTGCGTTGGTATCAAGACCCAACCACCTTGGAATTTTCCATTCTCGAGCATGAGGTATCCCGCGCATCCATTCATGACATAAGACATCTACATCTGGGGGTACCTTATCATGCCAATTCTTTACAGAGGTCCAAGCCTTCTGTAACACAGATTTTCCCTCAAAAGTGTATGGTCCCAGAAACCCTTTCGGATCAAACAAGGAGGCCAGAACGGAAAGGTACTCAGCAACTGATAAAGTATCACCCCTTTGGGGGCATGCCCCAGAAACATCCACTTCTTTTCTACAGGAAAAACCAAACAAATCAGTTTCGGGGTCCCAAAGGAGACCCAAGGCTTTAGAGACTTTTGTCTCCCCGACTACCTTGCTTGACTTGTCCTGGCGCTCTTCAGGGATGCCTGCCAAGACCTTGGGGAAGTTGGACTTCCACTTGGTCATGACAAACCCATACTTGGCCATGGCTTTGTCAATCCGAGTAACCATATCAGTGGCCTCAGCCACCGAATCGAAACCAGCATACAAATCATCAACATAAAAACATTGCTGGGTAATCCAACGGAGAGAGGATCCCTCTGGACTTTCCAGCTTGCCGACCCTTCTAACACAGTAATTTGCGATAGCAGGGGAACAGGTGGCACCAAAGATATGCCTATTATTTACAAACCAGTGCTCCCCCTGCTCAGGATCTTTGAAAACAAACATCAACTTTGACCTATCTTCAGGTCGGACAAGAATCTGAGGGAACATCTCAGACACATCAGCATTAATAACAACTTTTTTCAGACGAAAACGCAATAGAACCCCGGAAAACAAGGCCTACTAATTCCCTACCACGCTCATAACTTGGTTTCGACTCACTCAAAAATTCTTCCATGGAGGTGATGACTTCCTGAAGTTTGGTGATGACGTGGTCCAGGCGGTACTCCTTTTTCTGTACGGGCATCGGACTTTTGGTCAGAAATGGCAGCTGGGATTCCTTGACAGGATCCTGCGGAGGTTGTGACATCGCGGCTAAATGAGCATGCTGACGAGTGACTCTTAAGCTTGCAGTTTTGGATGAATCTTCAGCCGAAGTACGGTACTCGCCCTGTTCGGACATTTCCCGTTTTTCACAAAACTTTGTTCACTTGGTGTAGTTCACATACAGTGCTTCGCACTGGCCTGAGTACCAATCAGGACTTTTCACATGGATACACACAGTTGACGATCCAAGAATCCGGTCCGAAGGACCATATTAAATTCCGCGTCTTTAGACTTTAAGTTGGTGACGTCTTCGGTGTACTCTGACGACTGAGATTTATACACTTTTTACTTGAACTTGTTTAGCTGGCGATGAAGCTGCCAGTGGGGCTGATGACATCCCAGAAACTTGGTGATCGACGAGGAAGATCCCAGGTTGTAAGCCTGAGCAGCCAGTCGCTTGTAGAAGCAGTTTTTACAAGTTCGTGACTTTGAATTAAAACACTTGTCTTCTATTTACAAGCGTTTTATTACAAAACATAAATCACAAGATCTTGACAAAAGTCTTGTTTTTCTGTCTATAAACAAAAAGATACACATATTTCACATATTAGTTACAAACGAAATTCACAAATTCAACAATACAAAATTAAAACACTCGCGAAAGTCGAAACCAAGTTACGAGCGTTTTCTTCATAGAGGAGACCAGAGGATCTTACCTGTATGCCTACTTCCTCCAGAGAATTGAATCTCCTGAATTCATCCAGCAAGGCTCGACCTTCTTGAGGGTACTCCCAAGACGAAAACGAAGGGGCAGCATTGACAAGCTCCCCATCCTCATTACCGACACAGCCAGAGACTGTCCAGCCTAGAGGGGTTTGGTAGGCCAGGACCTTCCCACGCATGCGAGTGGTTCCTGGCTTGGCCAACATCAAAATTTCATTATCAATCCCAATGATGACTTGGGCTTTTCCCAGAGTGGTTTCAGAAATGACAACATCAGAGAAATCCGAATGTTGCTTAATCCATTCCTTCCAGTTAATTTTGATGGAAGGAGTAACCAAGTCACGGACAGAAGCCGCATCCTCAGCTAGAAACCAATCTGTCCCACCAGAACCTTTGAAAGCAAACGAAACATTCCCCACAGCTCGACAGGAGACTCCAATGGCTGTCTGTACAAGAATACTACCTGTAGCCTTGGATTCCAGTCCTAATTCTCGAGCCAAACATTCCTTAATGGTAGTTCTTGCGCATCCCGGGTCCAGCAAAGCTGGTACAGTTTTCTTGAGCCCAGAAGGGCCACGTACATCCAGAGAAACTAACCTCAGGGTATGCTGGGTATTAAATGGAGATCCCTCGGCACAAGTGCTCATAACTGGGATCTCGACCATAGTGTGGAGTGGGGTTTCTGGCTCCGGTTTCGGGGAAGTAGGGATTAATTCTTTGATAAGTTTCGCACCATGCAACAAAGGATGATGCCTGAACTTACAATCAGGATCCGCATCACATACTTTGGTCGAGAGACAATTTGTCCGACTATGACCATTCAAACAATTGAAACATAACTTATATTCAAAAACCTTGCGCACTCGCGCATCAGGTTCCATTTTGGCAAAGATGCCACATTTAGCCAGCCTGTGCTTTTCATTGCACAAGGGGCAGCCCGGATTTGGATCTGGCTTTTCAGCCGCGGGCGGGGGTTTGGTAGGAGGATCCTTCTGTTCAACAACTGCATACTTACCTTCTTTAGGAAGCTTTTTCTTCTGAGGTTTCTTCTCAGTTTGGTTATGAGTCTTCCCTGTTTCTGGACCAACCGCCAGGCGCAAATCGCTAGCAATCTTTCCAATAAAATCATGCAGACGCTCAAGGCGTTGCACTCCAGGAAGATCTCTATAACCATGCTTCCTTTCCTTCTTGACCCAGCGAACCCGACAGTCCAAAGGCATCTTTGCAAGAAGACGCGAAATGAGAGCCGAATGGTTCTCGAATTTATCAGACGCCAGGTGCTGTTCAAGGCAAGCACCAACAAAATGGGTAAGGTCCTCCCACCTAATCACATCATCACCCTGGATAGGGCGGAAATGGTTCAACTCATGTTCCAGTTCAGCCTCTCGAAGTGGGGCAGATTCGTAACGCTCATCAAGAACCTTCAAGGCGGTTTCGATGGCCCCTGGACCTTTTACATGTCTAAGGATGGCCGCAGCCCTTCCAGACACTAGATCCTTCAGAATGGCCAACTGATTAGTTGGGGAACATTTGGGATTGGACATATAAGCATTCACAAAATTATCCCGAAAATCTACATAGTCTAACACATTCCCATCAAACTTCTTCCTGTCCCTAGGCGGATAAATCCACTCATATGCGGGCTTAGGAGGAGGTTCAGGGGTTGCTGATTTCTCAGACTTCACAGCAGACTTGACATAAGATTCTGCCATGTCGCCAAGCAGAGTTAACATTTTGGATCCAACCGCGGCCAAGGGCTCTTGGAGGCCTTGGTCGAGGGATCCCATGACAAACGGATCCTTTCCAGGGGGAGCAGCCGCAGCCTGAGCACCCACATAAACGGGTGATCCAGGGGTAGCTACTGATCTCTCTGGATTGGCTTTTTCCACATTAACAGACGATCTTTGCGCTTTTTGGTGGCCATCCTCAATTGAGGGGCCCAGCTCATGAAGAGCCTTTAAAGCAAGATCTATTTCGGCTTGGCAGCCACTTGCAAAGACTACCAGATCAACAACGTCTCCATCAACCTCCTCCACAACATTGTCGAGGCGGTCAATGTCCGTTGCCAATTTGGCTTCGTCTATTGCCTTTAACAACATCTGCTGCAGGCCCACGTCAGAGGGGTCCTGCTGCATAGCATTCAATCTCATATTAAGGATCTTCATCTTGCCCATCATGATCTTTCTCACGAAGGAGACAGATCTGAGGGTCTGGCTCTTGGCAGAGCTTCGATGAGAAAACGCCAAAGAGGGGGGTCTTGGAGGATCCAAAACCGCACCCTGACATACTTCAAGTGGCAGAGATTTAGTAACCGCGGCCGGTCTGACCGGCGTTTCGATTAAAGTATTCTCGCGCGACACTTCTGCTGATTCTTCATCAGCAACATCCAACATCGAGACCAGGTGTTCTCTCCTACCTGATAAGTTCTTCTTTAACTTTACAAATTCACTTATCAGTCTCTGGTCTTCATCATTCCGCAAATTATCGCCGCTCAATTGATCTAACCTGATATCCCCATGGGCTTCCCAAAAAGAAACAAGGCCTACTAATTCCCTACCACGCTCATAACTTGGTTTCGACTCACTCAAGAATTCTTCCATGGAGGTGATGACTTCCTGAAGTTTGGTGATGACGTGGTCCAGGCGGTACTCCTTTTTCTGTAGGGGCATCGGACTTTTGGTCGGAAATGGTGGCTGGGATTCCTTGACAGGATCCTGCTGAGGTTGTGACATTGCGGCTAAACGAGCCCGCTGACGAGTGACTCTTAAGCTCGCAGTTTCGGATGAATCTTCAGCCGAAGTACGGTACTCGCCCTGTTCGGACATTTCCCGTTTTTCACAAACTTTGTTCACTTGGTGCAGTTCACATACAGTGCTTCACACTGGCCTGAGTACCAATCAGGACTTCTCACATGGATACACACAGTTGACGATCCAAGAATCCGGTCCGAAGGACCATATTAAATCCCGCGTCTTTAGACTTTAAGTTGGTGACGTCTTCGGTGTATTTTGACGACGGAGATTTATACACTTGTACTTGAACTTGTTTAGCTGGCGATGAAGCTGCCAGTGGGGCTGATGACATCCCAGAAACTTGGTGATCGACGAGGAAGATCTCAGGTTGTAAGCCCAAGCATCCAGTCGCTTGTAGAAGCAGTTTTTTTACGAGTTCGTGATTTGAATTAAAACACTTGTCTTCTATTTACAAGCGTTTTATTACAAAACATAAATCACAAGATCTTGACAAAAATCTCGTTTTTCTGTCTATAAACAAAAAAGATACACATATTTCACATATTAGTTACAAACGAAGTTCACAAATTCAACAACACTAAATTAAAACACTCGCGAAAGTCGAAACCAAGTTACGAGCGTTTTCTTCTGATCTTACCCCTGACGGGGTTCTCAGGACAATGACGGTCATGGCCGCCAAACTCCTTGGAGCTGGGGAAAAGCGCGCGCAAAACCAAATCAACACCAGATGGGTGCAGCTGTTGGAAACGCGCGCAGATCCAAACAAAACACCAGGTGGCTGCAGCTGTGAATAACGCGCCAAACTCAAACAAAACACCAGGTGGCTGCAGCTGTGAAAAACGCGCCAAACCCAAACAAAACACCAGATGCGCGCAGCTGCGCCGCCCAAACTTCTCCAAGATCCCTCCAAGAGGGATCAGGTTACAAAAACAAGGGGGATGGCAAAGGCGGATGACCCCTGGCCCTTGCGCACCCTGTGATCACGTGATTCCAACGTGCCTGAGTCATGGCTACTTGGAACCTTCAACCAAATGCGTATTTTTCATAAAATTTACATCAGGAATAATAGAAAACATGAAATTACAAAAAACACAGTTCCGTACGGACCAAATACACATTACACGTTTCTGCGCGAACAAAATACACATTACACATTTCCGCGCGAACAAAACCTCGCAGACGAAACTCTAACCTCGCAAACGAAACTCTAACCTCGCAGACGAAACTCTAACCTCGCAGACAAAGTACTCACCTCGCAGACGAAACTAACCTCGCAGACGGAAGCCTAACCTCGCAGACGAAAGCCTAACCTCGCAGACGAAAGCCTAACCTCGCAGACGAAAGCCTAACCTCGCAGACGAAACTCTAACCTCGCAGACGAAGTACTAACCTCGCAGACGAAGTACTAACCTCGCAGACGAAGTACTAACCTCGCAGACGAAACTAGACCTCGCAAACGAACTCAGGTGAGTCCCATAGCAGTTTCCAACATATATGGACATTCTTCAATCATAAATACATTGTACAACGGAAATTCTAATCAGATTTTCCAACACTCCCCCCGAAGCCGAGTGGGTACTGAGTACCCTCCGGCTTCCAGGCGTCGCGTTCCATGGCGTTTCCTTCAATAATGGCAATACGATTTGTACCCCTAGTCACCTCCCCAGAGGGAGTGGAAACTGTGACTTTTCGTACAATTCCATCCTTGGAAGGATGAACAGCAGTAACCCGGCCAGGGACCCAAATGTCTATAAAAGAATTGGATCCTCTGTCATCTACAACAACAGGGTCACCCACACACAATTGAGTGAAACGATTTCTGCCTCTACCTCTTTCTGAATTCAACAACATGAGGTAACAGGACCTCCAAATGCGCCAGAAATGACGCTCCATCTCACCAATATGCTGTAGCATTCTCAGACTAGAGCCTGATAAGCTAGAATTTCGAGATATGGACAAAAGAGGTTGTAAAAGCATAGCAGGTGTTAGAGCATTTCCTGCATCATCTACATACAAAGGACGCTTATTCAGGATTGCTTCTATCCTACACAGAAAGGTCTCCATAACATCATGAGCCCACCGTTTCCCTTGGATACAATGGCTCAAACATCTTTTAATATCACGAATCATTCTTTCCCATGAACCACCCCAATGGGGTGATCCTGGGGGGTTGGTCTTGAATTCAATACGCCATTCAGATGCGCAGCGACCAGAGATCCCATCAACATAAATTTTGGCAGCTTCTTTGTTTCCTGCCACAAAAGCTGTACCACAATCACTCCAGATGATTCTTGGCTGGCCCCTTCTGCGTATGAAACGCTCCAGGGACAGCATGAACTTTTCGGTGGACAGACCTGTACAAAGTTCAAGGTGGATAGCTCTTGTGGTCAGGCACATAAAAAGCAGGCCCCATTGTTTAGACTTGCCTTTGCCCATGTACGGACCAAAATGGTCAATTCCACAATGAGTAAAGGGAGGGGATCCCTCTGCTACCCGATTGGGATGCAGGGGAGCTTGCAAAGTTTTAACCAAAATAGGATTCTTTTCCCGACATTCCAAACATCTGTACAAAACATAACGGACAAGACTAGCCATTCGCGGTATCAAGTACCTCTCTCGAACTATTGATTGAGTAACTTTGGCCCCTGCGTGGGCATTGTTACAATGAGCATCCCTGATGACCAGTTTTGAAACTGGGGCATGTCGAGGTAGAACAATTGGGTACTTCTGGACATCTGAAATACCCTGGACATTACCCAGCCTGGTTTCTGCTCTGAGGAGACCTTCTTGATCTAACCAGACCATCAACTTGGCCAGCTGGCCGCTGGAAAACAACATCTTACCTTCCTTTTGAATCCTTTTAAGCTCGTCAACAAAAAAACGTTGTTGAGCCGACTTGGCTAGATCTTTTTCAAAGGTTAAGATCTTCGACGCATCCTTTCGATCTTCCTCAGGCACAAGATCAATAATTCGGTTACATTCAACATAGGGATCGGGTTCCTCCATCAGGACAAATATCCCGCTTAAGGCTTTGGATTTGGTTTTCACCTCATCCAGGCCCTGAGTCAGAACCTTTGGCTGATGAGGCCAATCCTCTTCAGGGACGGAGAACCACTTAGGACCTTCCAGCCAGAATTTCTCTGAGGAAATCAACGAATCGGCACTGAGGCCTCGGCTGATGAGGTCAGCAGGGTTCGACTTGGAACTCACATGCTTGTATTCAATAATGGGCTCACCAGGGGGGGAAGACTCTAGGAATTCCTGGAGTTCCCCAATGCGGTTTGCCACAAACGTAACATACTTGGAGGCTGGATTATTGAGCCAGCCCAGCACAACAGTACTGTCAGTCCACAAAACAATTCTCGAAATAGCAATTTCAGATAATTCTCTTAACAAAAACTCAGCCATATTTTTCGCAATCAGACAGCCCATCAACTCCATTCGAGGGATGGAGATTGGCTTGGTGGGAGCCACCCTGGATTTTGCAAAAATAAACTTGGAGGAGCAGCCCTGCTTCAAATAAGCGACTGCCCCAAAACCCTTTTCGGATGCGTCACTAAAAATGTGAAGCTCAATAGGTGCGTTGGTATCAAGACCCAACCACCTTGGGATTTTCCATTCTCGAGCATGAGGTATCCCGCGCATCCATTCATGACATAAAACATCTACATCTGGGGGTACCCTATCATGCCAATTCTTTACAGAGGTCCAAGCCTTCTGCAACACGGATTTTCCCTCAAAAGTATATGGCCCCAGAAACCCTTTTGGATCAAACAAGGAGGCCAGAACAGAAAGGTACTCAGCAACTGATAAAGTATCACCCCTTTGGGGGCATGCCCCAGAAACATCCACTTCTTTTCTACATGAAAAACCAAACAAATCAGTTTCGGGATCCCAAAGGAGACCCAAGGCTTTAGAGACTTTCGTCTCCCCGACTACCTTGCTTGACTTGTCCTGGCGCTCTTCAGGGATGCCTGCCAAGACCTCGGGAAAGTTAGACTTCCACTTGGTCATGACAAACCCATACTTGGCCATAGATTTGTCAATCCGATTAACCATATCAGTGGCCTCAGCCACCGAATCAAAACCAGCGTACAAATCATCAACATAAACACATTGCTGGGTAATCCAACGGAGGGAGGATCCCTCTGGACTTTCCAGCTCGCCGACCCTTCTAACACAGTAATTTGCGATAGCAGGGGAGCAGGTGGCGCCAAAGATATGCCTATTATTTACAAACCAGCGCTCTCCCCGTTCAGGATCTTTGAAAACAAACATCAACTTTGACCTATCTTCAGGTCGGACAAGAATCTGAGGGAACATCTCAGACACATCAGCATTAATAACAACTTTTTTCAGACGAAAACGCAATAGAACCCCGGCCACTGTTGGTTGAACCTGTGGCCCTTTTCTCAACATCATATTGAGTGAGATTCCCTCATTTTGTGCAGCTGCATCAAGCACTCTGCGAGGACGATTGGGTTTGTCAGGATGAGTGACAATCATCCATGGCAATACCCAGTGGGAATCAGAACTCAGAAGTTCTTTCTTTTGAAGTTGAGAGAGCTCTGAAATGTATCCTTTGCGAAGATCCTCCTCAAAACCCTTCCGGACAGTATCTAGCAAACGGGGGTTTCTACTTAAACGATGAGCCATACTTCCAGCTCGCCTTACAGCTTGCCCAAGTGACTCAGGGGGATCCTTGGAGGGCTTCCAAAGCATTGAAACTTGGAAACGACCTCCAACAATCTGGACATCTTTCTCGAGCTCTTTGAGCTCCTTCTCTTGATCATAGAGGAGACCAGAGGATCTTACCTGTATGCCTACTTCCTCCAGAGAATTGAATCTCCTGAATTCATCCAGCAAGGCTCGACCTTCTTGAGGGTACTCCCAAGACGAAAACGAAGGGGCAGCATTGAATAGAGGAGACCAGAGGATCTTACCTGTATGCCTACTTCCTCCAGAGAATTGAATCTCCTGAATTCATCCAGCAAGGCTCGACCTTTTTGAGGGTACTCCCAAGACGAAAACGAAGGGGCAGCATTGATCAGCTCCCCATCCTCATTACTGACACAGCCAGAGACTGTCCAGCCTAGAGGGGTTTGGTAGGCCAGGACCTTCCCACGCATGCAAGTGGTTCCTGGCTTGGCCAACATCAAAACTTTGTTATCAATCCCAATGATGACTTGGGCCTTTCCCAGAGTAGTTTCAGAAATGACAACATCAGAAAAATCCGAATGTTGCTTAATCCATTCCTTCCAGTTAATTTTGATGGAAGGAGTAACCAAGTCAAGGACAGAAGCCGCGTCCTCAGCTAGAAACCAATCTGTCCCACCAGAACCTTTGAAAGCAAACGAAACATTCCCCATGGCTCGACAGGAGATTCCAATGGCTGTCTGTACAAGAATACTACCTGTAGCCTTGGATTCCAGTCCTAATTCTCGAGCCAAACATTCCTTAATGGTAGTTCTTGCGCATCCCGGATCCAGCAAAGCTGGTACAGTTTTCTTGAGCCCAGAAGGGCCACGTACATCCAGAGAAACTAACCTCAGGGTATGCTGGGTATTAAATGGAGATCCCTCGGCACAAGTGCTCATAACTGGGATCTCGACCATAGTGTGGAGTGGGGTTTCTGGCTCTGGTTTTGGGGAAGGAGGGATCAATTCTTTGATAAGTTTCGCACCATGCAACAAAGGATGATGCCTGAACTTACAATCAGGATCCGCATCACATACTTTGGTCGAGAGACAATTTGTCCAACTATGACCATTCAAGCAATTGAAACATAACTTATATTCAAAAACCTTGCGCACTTGCGCATCAGGTTCCATTTTGGCAAAGATGCCACATTTAGCCAGCCTGTCCTTTTCATTGCACAAGGGGCAGCCCGGATATGGAGCTGGCTTTTCAGCCGCGGGCGGGGGGTTGGTAGGAGGATCCTGCTGTTCAACAACTGCATACTTACCTTCTTTAGGAAGCCTTTTCTTCTGAGGTTTCTTCTCAGTTTGGTTCTGAGTCTTCCCTTTTTCTGGACCAACCGCCAGGCGCAAATCGCTTGCAATCTTTCCAATAAAATCATGCAGACGCTCAAGGCGTTGCACTCCAGGAAGATCTCTATAACCATGCTTCTTTTCCTTCTTGACCCAGCAAACCCGACAGTCCAAAGGCATCTTGGCAAGAAGACGCGAAATGAGAGCCGAATGGTTCTCAAATTTATCAGACGCCAGGTGCTGTTCAAGGCAAGCACCAACAAAATGGGTAAGGTCCTCCCACCTAATTACATCATCACCTTGGATAGGGTGGAAATGGTTCAACTCATATTCCAGTTCAGCCTCTCGAAGTGGGGCAGATTCATAATGCTCATCAAGAACCTTCAAGGCGGTTTCAATGGCCCCTTGACCCTTTACATGTCTAAGGATGGCCGCAGCCCTTCCAGACACTAGATCCTTCAGAATGGCCAACTGATTGGTTGGGGAACATTTGGGATTGGACATATAAGCATTCACAAAGTTATCCCGAAAATCTACATAATCTAACACATTCCCATCAAACTTCTTCCTGTCCCTAGGCAGATAAATCCACTCATATGCGGGCTTAGGAGAAGGTTCAGGGGTTGCTGATTTCTCAGACTTCACAGCAGACTTGACATAAGATTCTGCCATGTCGCCAAGCAGAGTTTATAATTTGGATCCAACCGCGGCCAAGGGCTCTTGGAGGCCTTGGTCGAGGGATCCCATGACAAACGGATCCTTTCCAGGGGGAGCAGCCGCAGCCTGAGCACCCACATAAATGGGTGATCCAGGGGTAGCTTCTGATCTCTCTGGATTGGCTTTTTCCACATTAAAAGACGATCTTTGTGCTTTTTGGTGGCCATCCTCAATTGAGGGGCCCAGCTCATGAAGAGCCTTTAAAGCAAGATCTACTTCGGCTTGGCAGCCACTTGCAAAGACTACCAGATCAACAACATCTCCATCAACCTCCTCCACAACATTGTCAAGGCGGTCAATGTCCGTTGCCAATTTGGCTTCGTCAATTGCCTTTAACAACATCTGCTGTAGGCCCACGTCAGAGGGGTCCTGCTGCATAGCATTCAATCTCATATTAAGGATCTTCATCTTGCCTATCATGATCTTTCTCACGAAGGAGACAGATCTGAGGGTCTGGCTCTTGGCAGAGCTTCGATGAGAAAACGCCAAAGAGGGGGGTCTTGGAGGATCCAAAACCGCACCCTGACATACTTCAAGTGGCA